ATTGTTCTGTGGCATTATAAGTGCTGCCACGACTGTAAATTGGTCGGCTACATGCCACATGATACAAGATTATCGGTTCCATTTTTCTCCACCGCCACAAATAGACTTTCATTTTAACAATGGCGAATATGCCCGGACATTTATTGTACAGTGTGTTTCAAAAAATATAAGACTTATTTTTTATATCAACATAGATCTGATTTTGCTTTGTTTGTTAGCTACAGGGGATTAAAGTCTTATTTTTTTGCTATTTATTATATTTTTCTTCCAAGTGCTTTTAGCGATTTGAATGAAATTTTGAGTGTAAAAGATACTGTAAAGGTGCGTCCACATTGCTCGTTATCCTGCTCGCGCTCTTGCTTCTGATTGTGCTTGTGTTGCTTTTGCTTCCTGTTTGTCGCTTTTCTCATGATCTTTCGGTTCGCAAGTAACGGCGTCCACATTGTAATGTAGTTGCGTTCGTGCTGTTCGGACTTGGATGGTACCGAAGTATTTTTAATAGCGACTGCTAGTTCGATCATTATTGCATTTTTAATTCTGAACAAAAAAAAAATAATACAAATCATGTTAGTATCATCATACTGCAGTAAATATCGAATCTTATGAATGAAACCAAACTAAAAACTAAACAAACAACACAAACAGCTCGAGCGCTTCGCGCCGTAAAGTATGCTCGCATGGCTCCGAAGCGTCTCTTTGATGTAGCGCGACAGAGCCGAGCCGAACAGTCGAAACAGGGATTTTATGTGATCGCAAAAACGTGAAGCGCTGCGAGCATGTTGCTTGCTCCGACTATTTGCCATGTTTTTCGTGTTTCGCGTGTTTGTTCGGCCTGCTCGCGAGCAATGTGGACGCACCTTAAGCAACATGTTTTAATGCTAAAAAGTTTCGACAGATTTACCAGGGACTTGCATATGGGTTATCACTGGAATACTTTTCTAAAAAAAACATGCAGCCACTGACTTTTTTTCTCTTGATATCAGAATTACTTAGATCGTTTAATGTCGCTTAAAAATTGTCTATTGATATTTTGTCAATTCCTTGATGTGATAAACGCAATTTTATTAATGTGCATTAATCCAAGATCCAAGTCTAATAGCGATCTTTAAAATTTATTAATTAACTGGACCAAAGTGCTAATAAGTATACCCATTGATTCTTAATCAAAAAATATGAAAAAGTTTCAATAAACATGGGAACGGAAATGTATAGTTTTAAAGTTACAGTTTATGATAAAACTTTTATCTACAACCGTTTAGTTATAACGTTTTTACATCACTATTTTTTTTTAGTATTTCAGTTACGTTATGAGATTCATAACACAACTAGTGGTGTTATGAATCTATAACACAACTAGTTTCTATAATAATGAAAAACAACTACGAACATCTAAATATATTAACTTTTCCGGCAATAATGATTCCGTGGCACGTACTGCGGCAACTTGTACATCTGAAGGGAGACTTTCGGAATTGCTCATCGTAATTTTTAAAATGATTTTTCTGGGCAAGAAGTGCTCGCGTTTACTTCGACAGGGCAAACTGACTTTTCAGAAAAAAATGTGACAAATGTCATAGTTAAAGGTGGGCGACATAGACTAATTTCATGTACTAGTGATAGATTGGACACTGATATAAAACAAATGGGTCCGTCATTTAGAGCCACCTGGTGATCCGGAAGAAACTAATGGAGAGTTTTGGCATAACATAATTTTAGCGTTCCGTAACTTATTAACGCTAACTAAAACGGTAACGTTATTCAAGCTCAAAATTACTCCTTGTAAAATATAAAATAATAAATATAGACTTTTTTGTTGCCCATTTTATGTTTTATTAGATCATTAGAAGTGTAACTTAATTAAAACAAAATTAAAATATATACATACATTTTAAACACCAACAATAGAGCACATAGCGCCTATTTTTTGATTTAACAAATAAATTATATAGCAAAAATATAGACTACTAATTAACTGTTACAAAAAATACTATATATTACCAACTATGTACTTACTTATTTATGATTAAACTATTTTTTTTTATTAGGTTCATAAATTTATACTTTCTAAAATGTCAGAATGACTTTAATAAATAAGTTTAGTATCTAACACGAAAATGATGATCGACTCTAAATATCAGAATGCACAAACTAATAAAAACACAAACTATAAACACAAATCACTGTAATCACCGAACTTTCCGATAAATCAGGATTATCTGAATTAATGATTATTTAAATAATGATCAAAATAATGATTTAAAAATAACTTGACGGATCACCAACATTTTGTCAAAATGTCAGCATGATGTCAATCAAATGTCAATTAGACAAAAACTAGACCACAGACAATTGTCAACATAGGGACTGTCATGTCATCTTCATATATAAATTAGAAACCTGTAGTTTAATGTCTTTTGCGCCGTCTGGCGATGCGGAAGAAACTAAATTTGGAGTTCTATAAAATTACCATTGAGTGTCTAGGGCATGGTGGGCGACTAATAAACGAAAATTAAAACAGCATTTGCTTATTTTTCGGTTGTAGATTAAACGTTGTACATGACACGTGCGTTTAAACATGATTACAACACTCGTGTGATTAGAACGACTCGGTCTACGACCTCGTCGTTCTAATCGTTCACACTCGTTGTAATCATGTTCATAAACACACTTGTACTGTAAATAACTATTAAAAAATATCAAGAGACAACTTTTAATCGGCATTAAATTGCTTACACAAAGAAAAATATTTCTGTGATATCCCATGCACGTCTCTGGTGAATCTGTAGAATATGTCACACTTATAGTAACTTTTGTCCTCAAAATTTCATTCAAATCGCTAAAAGTACTTTGAGGAAAATTATAATCAATCGAAAAAAAAATGGCGCCGGGAGGCACGTATAGCCGCCCATACTAAAATATGTTAATATCTCGAAAACTGCGACTTTGACTGATTTTGATGTTATTACAAATTTTGTTGCAAATATTATTTCTAATCTTAATTTGAAAACCGCGTTTCGCTAGCTACTGTAATTTTGGAGTTACGATTTTTTAAAATTTTTAACCCCCTCCCATACCTCCTTACTACCCCCCACCCCCACCAAAAACTAATGGCCAGATTCTCGGGTGCCACAGTATTTTTGTGCCAAATTTGGTTAAAATCGGTTCAGCGGTTTTTGAGTTATCGTGTTACAGACGGACAGACAGACAGACACCATGAAAATATTTTGTATTTAGGTCATTTATGACCCAAGTAACTCATTTTTAGTGAAATTAAAAAAAAAATTTTGCCGATCCTAATAGCCTACCATACCTATTGGTATGGTCGGCTAATAAATGAAAATAACTCCCTGTAGCTCCGAAACAAAGCAGAATCGGACCTATATGCTGAAATAAAAAATAATTTTATTTTTGAGATACGCGAGGAATCTCCCCACGAGAGATGGCACATGTTTTTTGAAACACCCTGTATACCGATCCGTAATGCTCGTCCATGGCTCGTCTGATTCTCATAAAATTGATTGCGTTTCTCGCTTTTGAATTTTTTGATTGAATCTCGTAATAATCTTAAATGGATCTGAGCTGGACTATTTTTGAAGGGAAGCGTCAATGTCAAAGCTCTAAGGAATAGATTGATACAGAGGAAACAAGCAATCGTTTAAATATGTCTGATATCGGAGATATGTTTTTAAACTGCTATCTCGCAAAAAATATGAAAGATATTTTAAAACGATTATAAGTAACAGGTGTACTGGATTATTTTACACAATTCAATACATATTTTAATGGTCTGAATGATTTTATAGAGCAACTGAAATATGTGAAAGATAAAATTGGAAACATTTTTATTATATTTGTCGCTGAAAACCCTATCCGACGTACAATGTTATTTGCTTACTTGGAGAGAACTAAATTCACAGTATATCTCAAACTCAATTAGCATAAACATGTTAAATAAGCAAAAAGTATAACGTCAAAAGGGTGACAGTTACGCATTGCCTTTTTCAAGATTTTAATGTGCAGTTCTAATGGACGTCAGTAATTATTATTTATTTTTTTCTTTGTTAACTGACGTAGAAAAAAAAATACAAACCAAAAAAGCTTCTAAATTTACTGCCATTTAGAATATGTTGAAAAATAGGTAAAATTCAATAATTAGATAAAGATTGTAGTAAAATTTTACAAGTGGAGGAGTTATTTGAACATCCACCCGAAAAGTCGATAATATTGACATTTTTTTAATTTTTTTTTATCCTATACTAACCTATGATACTAACATTACTAACCAAGCAAGGAAATACTGCCAACACAGGAAGTTAAATACCTGGGAATAACCCTGGACAGTAAACTCCTGTGGAACAGGCATATTAAGAACACTACCAGCAAAGCCATAAAGGCTCTCATGATATGCAGAAGACTGGCCGGAAATAGATGGGGCTGCTCCCCTAACATTTTGCGCTGGATGTATACCATGATAGTAAGACCCATGATTACTTATGGAGCAGTTGCCTGGTACACAAAACTAGAGCAACGGACGGCAAGGCTAAACCTATGCAAAGTCCAGAGACTAGCATGTGTTTGCATCACAGGAGCCATGAGAACCTGTCCAACAACAGCAATGGAGGTCATTCTAGATCTAACACCACTGCACATTCTCATTGGTAGATATGCGACAATGATTAGAATGGTCACTAACGGAATTAGTACTGGGAGAATTGTCAGATCAGGGGCTTGGAACACCCTCAAAAAGGAAATACCACTCCTGCAACTCCCAGTGGACGATATGCCAAGAACGTACAACTTTGACAAACATGTCAATGTAGTATTGAGCAATAAGAAGGATTGGAATAGCGAAACGCTTGCCCAGCAGTTAAAAGACCATACCATAACTGGGTATACTGATGCTTCCAAAATCAATACGGGAACAGGGATCGGAGTGTTTGGGCCGAGAGCTAATTACTCCGAACCAATGGGCACTTACCCTAGTAGTCCAAGATCCCAGAGCTCCCAGACGTCACTTATTTTCTGATGGACAAAATATATACGAGTGAGTAGTGGTGGGGTGTGCTATGATCATATGACTAGTTGCTACCTTGGCCAGACGGCCCTTTTTCAGGTAGCAATTAATCAAGGTACATAGAAATACTGCTCACTTCACTTAAATTCTGATAGCTGATTTTAACATATATTTCACACAATATCGTTAAAAATCAGGATTCATTACTCCCAGACACATGCGGTCGGCGGTTTTACCTTACAGACGCTTCAAAGCTATTAAAAAAATTAATTAAGGTCACTTATTTTCTGATGCTTGATTTTTATATATGTTATTCAAACAACTATTTTAAAACGTTTTGCAAACGGACAGACCGATCCAAGGGGCCAAACATTCACCAGACCCAATTTTCATGTCGCTGAGAGTAGGGGCACGGGCATTATCCGTGCGCATAAGTGCGAGTGAGACAGACATGAGTGTCATTGCTTCTCTCCTTCTATTCGGTTTACTCTTACCCACTAGTTAATGTATCGCGTCTGTTGAGTGCGTCAGCTGTGTTGTGATTTAAGTAGCAATTCGTATAAAAAAATACAAATATTTGCAGTGTTTGAAAAAATATAATGGCTAATTTGTTAAATTGTGTATTTTGCAATAATTGTGATGAAAATTTAATATTATTTACGGAAGAGACATTAAAAAAGTGTCGAGTGATTTTACAGCATAGAAAGGAACATAACCTAAAATTTAAAGACGTTGTTTTGCCGGGTGAACTATTTGAAAGTGGTTATCACAGAAACTGTTACAAATCGTTTACAGGGTTAAATAAAAAGTACTATTTACCAAAAAATACGGCAACCGAGAAAGCTAATTCAACAGAAAAGTTATTAAGCATTGCAGAAAATTTATCCACTGATATCTCAACGACAGTTGAATTAGATACACAATGTATTCAGCCAGAAGCATCTACGTCTCAACATTTTAATCCAGCAGCAGCTGTTATACCTGACACTACTACAATACCTAGCCCATCTGTCTTACCTGAGTTGGTCGAACCGGATTTTCCAAGATTAGAAGAATATATTGATCATCCTGAAAATATTGATTCACTTTCTGACAGTAATACTGCAGTTGATATCGATGTAAATAATTCTCCAAATAATCTTACTTGTATATATTGTGATCAAAAAACTAAAAAGCACAAGTCTAAACGATTGCCTCTAATTACGTCAGATAAAAATGTATTTCTATCTAAAGCTAAAAATCAATATGAAAATCATACAGAATTCTTGGAAAAAATTGTAAATTATCCACATTCTAAAATACACTATCACAATATCTGTCAATTAAATTTTTCTTATGAAACTTCATCAAACAAAAAAACTACTACAACTCATTGGCATAGTCTTCGTGAACAACACCGAGCAGCTTTTCATGAAATATGTTCTTTTATTGAAGAAAATATAATTCAAAAAGGACGGTGTTACTTCCTGAGTTATATTTGTCGATGTTATATCGGATTATTAGATGAAAGTGATGAAAATAATGATGTCGGAATTAGAGGGGATTTTAAAGCACACATTTTGGAATCAAAAATTAAGAAAAAATATGGTAAAGAGATAAAAATTTTTATTATTCAGAATAAAAAATTAGTCGCGCCGAAAAATGTAGTGGCTATTGATGAGCAAACACTCGAAAGTCTAAAAGATGAAGATATTTTACTTAAAGCTGCTCTATTATTGAGAAAATCTGTTTTACAAGCTGAAAAAAAAAAGTTACCTCATAACTTAACAATACAACATTTGCAGGACGGAGAAATATCTGTGCCACAAGATCTACTGGACTTTTATTCTACTTTGATAGCCGGTAATAATCGAAGACGTAAAAATAATCAAAAGTGTATCCGTCAAGTCAAGTCATATTGTGAAGATGTCGTCTATAGCATTTACAATGGAAAAATAAAAACATCAAAGCATATTATGCTCGGAATGGCTTTAAAAAGTCTAACAAGTAGCCGCAAAATTATTGATATAATACATAGATATGGGCATTGTATCAGTTATCCTGGAGTGGAAGAGCTCGAAACAGAAGCAACATATACATCAGTTGAAAAATCAAGTGTATGTCCTGAAACAATTAAAAAATCACCAGATCTCTGCACCGGTCTTGCTTTCGATAATTTTGATCGTTTCGTGGAGACAAAGACTGGTAAAGATACATTGCACGATACAGTTGGTATTATTTACCAGAATATTGATATGAACACCCCAGATGAACCGCAATTAATAAATATCACCGATGCTCATACCGAAGTATCTATCAACTCGCAAAAAAGGAGACGGAGAACTTTTGATGCTATTTCTATGGAAATTAGTGAAGAACCATTGGTTAAAAAAATGAAGATAACAGATCTAGAAGCGTCAGCTTGTGAAGATACAGAACCTATAAATTTACCACTGTACAAAACGATCGATACGCTGTGGATGTTTAGCCATGCTCTCCAGTTACCGAATGTTCCAATGTGGGTTGGATTTAATTCTTTTCTAGTTGACAATAATAGCCCACAACAAATAGTTTCATATCTAACTCCAATAAATCAATCGCCTACTAACAAATCAGTAGTTTTGGAGACTATGAAACAGAGTCAACAAATTTGTGAAGAAGTGAAGCAGTCATCCATCCAAGTTACTTATGATCTTGCGATTGCAAAAATAGCCTTACAAATTCAAGCTAGCCACAAACCAGATCTTGATAATTTATTCATACATTTGGGGCCATTCCATATAATGATGGCTTACTTCAAAACTATAGGAAAATTTATTATGCATTGTGGCTTAACAAACGTCATGGTACAGAGTAATTTATTAGCATCCGGCTCTGTAAATGGATTTCTGGAGGGAAAACATTTCAATAGGTGTAAAAGGCTTCACCCTTTGATGGCTGTAGGTTTGGAAATTTTACATTTTAAATCGTTTTTGGAGAGTAATAATATTACTATCAGTGATCAAATTATCCAAGAAATCACACGACTAAGAACGTCTTCAATATCTTCACTTACAATTGAGGATGACGAGCTTAATGCATTATTACAGAATTATGATATTTATAAGCAAAAAACCCTCAATGGCGAGTTTGGTAAAACTCCACAGTTTTATTTAATCTATATAAATCTTGTTCATCATTATTTAACCTTGTCAAGAAGCATACGTTGTGGAGATTTTGAATTATTTAAGTTTGTACTGCCAAAAATTACTAACTTATTTTTCATATGCAATCAACAGAATTATGCTCGTTGGACAGTTAAATACAGTAATAATTTGTTAAAAGTTGCCGAAACTCATCCTGACTTGTATGAACAGTTCAAAAATGGTTTTTTTTGCATTCAAAGAACTAGTAAGCCTTTTTCTAAGCAACCGATTGACTTAGTCCTGGAACAAACCATTAATGCAGATGCAGCCAGGAGACTCACAGGTAATGAACATTAATGATTAATAAAAATTAAAAGGAAAATTGAAAAAATATATATATAAAGATTAATGAATATACATGTCAAAAAAGTTAATAAAATTAAAAAAAAATAAACAAAAATGTCAGAATATATGAAAATAAATGAATATGTCAAAAAAAATTGAATATACAAAAACCGTAAATTTATATTTTTCAGGAATAATCCAATTCACCAATTCCATATCAGCACGCCAACGATGGGCTCGCAGTCATGATATACGATCAACAATAATTAGTTCTGTTTATAAAGATCTAGACTTACAACAAATACAAGATGTTACAGCCGAGGTGTCTAATCATAATATGAAGAATGATACCAAACAATTACAAAAATTTATCGACGAATTCGATCGATTCATCAATCCGTTTAGTCCTGAAGTACCACAAGATCTTTTGCTTAATATTTCATCTGGAAAAGCAGCCTCAGAGGTCGTAGAAAAATTTCTTCTCAATGTTGAGAAGAATGGAGACATAAGACGTCAAACATTCATCGCAGAATGTAAAAACGATGAATATAGGTTCGAAAAGAGCATAAAAAAAGTGCCACTGGAAAACTTTTCTTTAGATTATGCTAAGAAAACAACAACAACTAAGGTAGGTGGTAAAGTGCTAGAAGTACGTACTCAAAGAGATCTGTTTGGGCGGATGCTTGGAATATCGATTGATCACAAAGTCGATATAGCCAAAATTTTATCATACCCCATAACGCCAGTGCCATTATCCATGTGTCATTTCGACGGTGGCATCTGTAAAACCCAAAAGTCGGTTCTGATGAAATCATTGGAAAAAGGCGTACAACACAACCTACCTTCTCACATTGATATTTTGATAATTGATGGTTTCTTTCTGCTCTATACTATGAATAATGTGCCTAAAACTTTTGGAAATATCGCAAAAAAATTACTACAAATGGTGACACAGTTGAAAGCCACGAGATATGATGTCATATTTGATCAGTATTTTTCCCCTTCCATTAAAGATTATGAAAGATCTCGCCGATATGAATCATCACTACTGGAATTCAACATTACTGGGCCAGATCAAGTTCGTCCATCAAATTTCACGAAAGAGTTAAAAAATATCCACTTCAAACAGGCTCTCGTTGATTTCTTCATATTGCACTGGACTAGTGAGGAGATGATTCCATTCATTGGTAATAATCAAGTTTACATTAATTTTCGACAATGTCACTCTTTCACCGTGAGTAATAATAAAGTTATGTCTGAAATCAATGAAGATTTATCGTGTCCCCAGCATGAGGAAGCTGATACAAAGATTGTTTATCATGTTTGCAACACTGATGCTCGAGCTAATTTTGTGATACGATGTTCAGATACGGATATTGCAGCGATAATGCTAGGAAATATGCATCATTTAAAAAATGATGATTCACACGTGTGGATATTAACCGGCACTGGTAACAATCAGCGATATGTTGATATTAGCAGTATCTACAAACAGTTAGGACCGTCGTTATGTCGAAGTCTACCAGGATTCCATGCTATTACTGGATGCGATTATAATCCCGCATTTTTCAAAAAGGGAAAACAAAGGCCGTTTAGTATTCTTAAAAAAAATAAAGAATACCAACAAGCATTTCTCACCTTTGGCACGTTGAATTTGATCGATGATGTAGACGAAGAAGAACGTGTATTCAATATAGTACAAAGATTTATATGTGATGTTTATAACGTACCAGGAGTAATGGATGTAAATGCTGCCAGACTTCAGCTGTTTATTAATACATATATGGTATGTGATGTTAATGAAAAATTTATGCAAAAAAATATGAAAAACTTCGATGCTACTAACTTACCACCTTGTAAAAGCGAACTTCGGCAACAGTTTCGACGAGCTAACTATATTGCTAGTGTTTGGAACAATGCTAGTGCAAAAATGATTAATATTTTCAATCCCGAAAATTTTGGCTGGACATTAGAAGATGATAAATATCATTTTCATTGGTTTGATGGAGATCAATTGCCGGATTTTGTCAGTCAGTCCTTGGAGGAAGAATTAGGTAATTTATTTTAGCTTCTCATAATTTTGATGTCTCTTTAGTTTTCCAAATCTTAATTGGTTGGTTTGTTTTTACTTTTTTACAGCGAAAACGCCCGAGGAAAATACTGATGAACAAGATGATGATTTAGATATTCAATATCAAGATAGGATCGATGATGAATTACCTGACTTCAACGACGATGACAATGAAGATTAGAAGCCAGTCGAATATTTACAAATCAATCTTACAAACTTATGTAAAAAAATATTTGTCGATTTTTGATAGTTTTTTAAGGTTCGTTACAAATAAATAATTATTTGAAAAGGTTGCTGTTATTTAATTAAATTATTAATACTTTGTAAACCTTTTGATATTTACTTTAAAAATTTAAAATTAACTTACTTAAAAAAATTTAAATTAATAAAACAGTTTGTAAGGTACAATTGTATAATTATTGCGGTCAGATGAGCACTTTTCTCAAAGTTAATCTTTGATTATTTACGTGATTTTCAAATAGAAGGAGAGAAGCAATGACACTCATGTCTGTCTCACTCGCACTTATGCGCACGGATAATGCCCGTGCCCCTACTCTCAGCGACATGAAAATTGGGTCTGGTGAATGTTTGGCCCCTTGGATCGGTCTGTCCGTTTGCAAAACGTTTTAAAATAGTTGTTTGAATAACATATATAAAAATCAAGCATCAGAAAATAAGTGACCTTAATAATTTTTTTAATAGCTTTGAAGCGTCTGTAAGGTAAAACGGCCGACCGCATGTGTCTGGGAGTAATGAATCCTGATTTTAACGATATTGTGTGAAATATATGTTAAAATCAGCTATCAGAATTTAAGTGAAGTGAGCAGTATTTCTATGTACCTTGATTAATTGCTACCTGAAAAAGGGCCGTCTGGCCAAGGTAGCAACTAGTCATATGATCATAGCACACCCCACCACTACTCACTCGTATATATTTTGTCCATCAGAAAATAAGTGACGTCTGGGAGCTCTGGGATCTTCCTCTATAGTATCCTACAGGCAATCAACTACAAAAATCTACGCTATCGAGAGATGAGTACAACTTATCTTAGATAGGAACTATCGGAAACAAGAAATAGCCATCTTATCTGATAGTCAAGCGGCGTTAAAGGCGATCAACTCAGTATCAATCAATTCGAAATTGGTAAAGAATGCATAGAGAAGCTGAATAAATTAGGCAAAGAAAACAAAGTCCTCCTACACTGGGTGCCTGCTCACCAAGGGATAGAAGGCAATGAAAAAGCAAATAATCTAGCTAGGAAAAGAGCGAACACTCCACTAACTGGACCAGAACCGTTCTGCTTTCCAAGTGGTAACCAACTCAAGGCGGAACTCAAGAACTTGGAAGAACCGCAACCTGGAATGGAAATCTTGCAATGGTCTAAGACACTCGAAGAAGTTTCTGAGGGCTTATGATCAAGAAAAATCACAGATCTTCCTGGGTCTGAGTAAGAACAATCTTCGGATTGTCACGGGGTTTTTAACAGGACACTGTCTCCTCAATGAACACCTCAGTAGATTGAAACTAAGAAGAAACGGCGAATGCAGATTCTGTGGGGAAGATGGGGAAACACCAGTACACCTCATCACTGAGTGCGCCGAGACGACAACCATTCGTGCCATTAATTTTGGTACGACTGATATTGGAGATGGAGAACTACCCTCTATAAAACCGTCCCAGATACTGGCTTTTGTCAAAGCCCTGGGACTGTATGATGAGTTATGATTCAAGAAAGGGGGACACAATGGATCTGTAAGGTCGAAGTGATTAACCCCCCTCCCACTCATTCTAAAATTCTAAAAAAAACCAAGCTTTGTAGAGAGACTGTAATTTCCACAGACTCTCTAACCAGCACTGGTCACTTTATTTCCGTGATCTATATTTTAATGCATACGACAGAGATATATATACGACCAGTTGACAGATAGACAGACAAAATATAACGCAGCATACAATGTTGCCAGTTCGTACGTGAAATAAGACAATAAACGAAGATAATACAGCATGGCCCCGGATTGTCTTTACAAGAGGAAAAACTTTTTTATTATTGACATTTTGGAAAAAATTGAAAGAAACGTGAAAATAAAAAAAAATCCTCCATATTTTCCTAAATACGTCCAAAAATCAAAAGGCGTTTCTACGTTAATGTAATTTCGATTTCATTCTTTGATACATGGTTATTATTAATTTTGATTAATGTCATATTTTTTGCTATTGTTAAACTATCACATTTTCTGAAAACTATTATCACCCTTTTTATTAATATTATAATATACAAAATGATTTACCAGCATTTAAAACAATTTAAATGTATTAAATTAGATGTATTAAATGTATTAAAAGGTTTTTTTGAATTGATTTGTATTGTATGACATTTTTTTATTATTTGTATATTTGTATATTTGTTTTTGTGCTTTTTTGTTTTGTGAATGCTTTGTCGATGAAGCTGTTTTGGCTTTTTTTACAATAAAGCGTTGTTTTTTTTTATTAAAATTGTTTATGTCATTAAAATTATATTTTCTATTAATTAATTCGATTTAAGTCCGGCTCTGTTTTTTAATATATTTTTAAAATGCCGTTTGATACTTTGGCGGTTCGTGTTCCTTCATTCTGGAACAAGTTACGTAAAAAGAACTATATTATAGCATAGTGGGAGACGTTCAAAGGTTACCCCTCTATCATTTCTCATGTGTCTTTTACATTGATCGTCAAAATTATTGATGACACTACAAATCTATCTCTCAAATGTAAAGATACATACCTAAGTATATACAGGGTGAGTTTCCTACGATGTTCTCTATGGGTATCTCAGATACTGGAGATAGAGAGTCGGTTAAATGGGGAAAGAATTGCAGTTTTGTGGGGTCATAAATATTCGCCTTCCAGATTTTTGAAAAAGTTCATGGCTTACTAGATATTTCGAAAAAAAAACAAATTTCGGCTATTTTAAAAATTGTATTATCTAATCTAATTCCATTATAAGCTATTTTAGACAAAAAGTTTTCAGATAAAAGTTGTAGATAATCACATCCTTAATGAGACCGTGTCCTCCGTTTTTTTTTTCTAAAGCCTTTCATTTTTGATATATGACACGTGTTGGCTATAACGGCGACATGTGTTGGCTATAACGGCAAAGAAAAGATATTATAGCTTATATCACTAAAAAGCTTAAAAAATGGCGCTTTTTATGAAGTCATGGCTAACTATGGTTTCCATTTAAAAAAACATATGTTTGTGTCATATATCAAAAATGACAGGCTTTAGAAAGAAACGGAGGACACAGTCTCATTAAGGATGTGATTATCTACAACTTTTATTTGAAAACTTTTTGTCTAAAATAGCTTATAATGTAATTAGAGACAATTTTTAGAATAGCCGAAATTTGTTTTTTTCGAAATATCTAGTAAGCCATGAACTTTTTCAAAAATCTGAAAGGCGAATATTTATGACCCCACAAAACTGCAATTTTTTCCCCATTTAACCGACTCCCTATCTCCAGTAGTTTCCGCGATACCCATAGGGAACATCGTAGGAAACTCCCCCTTTTATTTAGATTAACGAATCATTAATTACAACTCTCTTTTCTCCTACAGTTTCCAACTGATAGCAATATAGAAACGATTTTAGGAAGATTTGACATAAAAAATCCTTTGCAAACAGCATGTTACAGTCAGAATTATGTCGTTGAATAGACTATAGTTTCAACCCTGAATGTTTATTAATGTCTATTATTTTGTTACAGGGCTGCTCTAGGCAGGGTATGTCTAAAATTAGTGGTCGTTATGGGTGTGACGTGGATTGCTGACGTTCTTTCCTGGGCAGTTGGGGGTCCCCAGTCGCTATGGTATATTACTGATGTCTTCAACTGTTTGCAAGGAGTCTTCATCTTCATCGTTGTTGGATGTCAACCACAAGTATGTATCTCATACCTGTATAGTTAATCATATAAAGTTATACTAGTTGCTTAGATGAGTTATTATATACAGGGTGAGTCTTAAATAAGTGCAAATATTTTTAGGGGTAGTATAATATGTCAATCCGAGAAACACGCATATGAGTTTTTTTTCTCTTGAGTTTAATATATCTTGATAATATGGCAACATAAGAAAGAAAACCCAGAAAAGACCCAGTGGTTCTCAAAATTTAAGCAAAAAATATATTTTTTTCTTAATTTTCAAAGTAAAATAACTCGGTTATTTCGGACTTATTATTTGTTTTTGAAATAAACGGTAAAGAGAAAATGTTTCTTTTATCCAGATCTATCAGTCCTGAAAATATCTGCACTTATTTAAGACTCCCCTGTGTAATAATTCCAAAATAAAGTCTTCCAGTAAGAGAATGGACCATTTCGACAGACAACATTTGGATGTTTATTCTGTTGTTATTTGGATAACAGAGATTATAATTTTGAACTAAAATGAAAGTAATTTTAACAAAACTGTCATTGTCATATATTCTCTGATTGGACAGATAGGTATAGATTTAGTACCTTGAGTTCACACGTTAGGCCAACGTTGGAGCTCACTTGTGTTCAAATTATATGTGATGCGTTTAGTATTTGTTTTAACGCCAATATTATACTTTTTGGATACGTCATAAAAATCCTTATTAAATTTAGCTTTATTTGATATTTTTCATGTATATACCTACTTTGATCATTTAAAAATTATACAGGGCGAGTCTTAAATAAGAACATATGTGTAAGGCGTCAAATTCCTAAACCCGTTTTATCCAAGTTTTATCCCCAAAACGTTCTTTCGTGATAACATGCAAAAACTGTTTTAGCAAATGTTTGAAGCGTTATTTTAAATAAAACGTGTTTATTTAGTGGAATCTTTGTTTTGTATCTCGTTTTTCTAGAAATAAAAATTTATATTTAATTTTTAAAGAGAAAAAACACAAAAATAAATCGAATAAGGCGAGTTATGTTGTAGTATGGTACATATTGTGTGCTTTGCTACAGATATTTGCATCTTAGCTTGATTTATTAGATATATGCTATTTTATTAAAATTATGTAAAGATTTGAAATGGATCAGACGTCAGTAGTAATATTATATTTGTGTATAAAGCGTATGAAAAAATGCGGGATTTACAACAATAATGAAAATAAAAAGCGAATATATATAAGACGCATTTTGCTGCAGTAACGTAATTTGTAGTGCATTTCATATAGGAATAGGAGAATTTTGCTGCAGTTTGGGACTATGTTTATGTAGATTTCAGGGTCCACTATTAATATGTGATTAGACTATTTAAAAAAATGGATAAGGCGGGTTTTGCAACTTGACGTCTCATATATTTGTATATTTTTTCAAAAAAATATATATATTTTTTTTATTTTTCAGGTAAAAAAACATTTTTTGATAATATAACAACATAAGTACTAGATTAAATTTAGAGAAAATTTTATTGACTATTTTATAAAGCCCAAATACAGAAAACATCTAGTAGTTCTCAACATTTAAACATTTCATTTTTTTAATTTCAAAGTAAAATAACTCCTTATTTTGGACTTACTTGAAAAACGGTAAAGAATAAAATATTTTGTTTAAAAATAACTATTTATCTTTTAAAGATTTCTTTTACACTGGCGCAATACCCAGGCTTGTTCCAAGAAATATATTATTGGGCGAACGTTGGTCCTATA